AATGTTCCTGGTGTTAATACTGCTATTGATTTTTTATCTTTTGAAACTTCTGTGAACACAAACCTCTATCCAAAACAAAGGTTTTAGCCACATGTTTTCTCCTTTTTGAGTCTGATCTTCATACTTCATTCTTATAATAGCAGGTGATGAACACGAGGAAAGGAATGGACAGAAAATAAGATGATATTGACTTATATTTTGGAGTGGGTGGTGAGTGAATGACTTAATCATCATTTGAGAGATGGTTTGATTTCTGATGAATCTGCAAGTACCATAGGGGCCACCCATCCTCCTACAAATGAAAGGACCCCTAATTGTGTTGACATTACAAAAATAGCTTATGAAATATTTTCAGAATGTGGGGCTCTTCAGTGACCCTCAAATTGCGTCACCAGTGCAGTAGCATATTTCAATGATAACTAAGCGATAATTCTTCTAACCATCCTCAAAGGTCTCACCCCATTGCTCTCAGCCTTTCTCGAACTCTTAGGCTGTAGCTGAGTCTCTCATCGCACTTTTTTTGGTCTTTTTTGCCAGCTTTATTGAAATATAGTTGATATACAACACTGTGTAACTTTAAGATGTTCAAGGTGATAATTTGATACTCTCATTGCCCTTTTGACACAGTCTCCCTGGCCCTTCTCCTCTTAGATGTGTGTCCACATCTTGCTCACAGAGTTGTCAGCAATTGGTGTTCATTAGCACCTTCTGAACTTGGGTCCACAGGGCACCTTTAGCTTCTTTAGGAAATTGATCCCCATGTGCCTGCTCTCAATACGGAGCAGATAAACTCTGGGTCACTCTTGCTTACACGGAATCTGCAATGTTCGTATCTTAGCTCCTTGAAAGAGTATGGCAGGATAGGATCAGACAGTATAAAGAAAATATGCTAATTTTTCACTAGTTGTAGACACATGTGTGAATCTCATCTTTGATTCATCTTCTCAAATCAACAAAGTAAACAGACCACTGCAGTCATTCAAATTGTGAAGAGCATGAGCACTTTATGTTTCCAGTTCCCAGAATCACCAACATTATCATCTTGTGGACATAGACCATGAAATTATACTACTGTGAAGTTCTGGAAGAAAACAAAAAGCTACTGTTAAAACTCACAGGTGAGTACATCAGGGAAGTGAGATCCAGATCTGAGAAAACCAGCTCAAGGTTCAACCTCACCTGGTCCCTCCGTACTCACTCACAGCTGTCGTGGGAAAATTATCACTGATGGCTGAAAGTGTATGATTTTTCTAACTAACTATGCATGTGGATTAGATTATCCCTTAAAATGTCCTTTGCCACAGGAATCTTCAAAATCCGATAAGGCTAAAGATGGCAAAGCAGACGTTCCTTCCTTGTGTGCCACTAATTTATCTACAAAGGACAACTGTAATAACAGTGTTAGTGTCAACCTCCTGCTCTCTGTGTTCTAAGAGCAGTGGACACACGTCTGAGATTAGAACCAACTTCTACTCCCGCATACTATTCAGGTATCTTCAAAAATTCCAGCCAGACCCATTCTGAGAGATGTGTCCTGTGGCTGCCACAGTCTCTCTCTGCCTGGTGGTGTGCCAAATCAGTGCCCAGAAGACTCCAAATATGGCAGCAAAGCGTAAAGTTTAATGCTTATCAATATGATTTAGTGATGACCAAGACCTGGACAGAGGAAAAGACTCACAGGATAAAATAACAGAGTCAGGAAACAAAGGTCTCAGAATCTTAAAGGCCAGATAGGCACCTACCCCACAAAATTCAGAGAGGTAGCAAGAAATCAGAGTTGGATCTGGGATCTGCAGCATCGACTGCACTGGGAGAATTTCCACAGGTTACTTACAGAGAGAACCAGGAACTAGTATGTGAAGGAGATGAGGGTCAGTGACAGACACATGATGAAGTATCAGGTAGTATGTGAAGGGGAACACAGAAAGAAAAGAGGAACAGACAGAAACATTTATACAAGAACATAGAAGTGAGAGCGGTAAGTCAGCTGAAACGATTTAAGTGTTGGAAATTTATGAACATTTCATAAGAAAGGACAGGTACAGAGAGTCATTATTGGGTGCCATGTCTTTCCTAAGGACCTAGGAACAGGAGAAATGACAAAAACTTCATGAATAGAATCAGTGTTTTGCATTTTGTAGCCTTTATCCCACTGTATGAATCTTCTATGCACATCCTTCATGTGTGTTTTAGATCTGTTTTATTCTTTGTGCTTTAGTCAATTTGTATTGATGTTTTACTGTGAAAATATTAACCTTGCCAAAAAAAAAAAAAAAGCTTTATGAGTCAAGCCACTTGCACAGGAACCTTGGGGCTTCGAAAGAGCCAAGCCCAGTCCAATGGGATGCCAGTTCGGGTCAATCTGAATGAAGGGCTGGTAACATGACCTGCTTCTGTTGGTTGCTATTAACTTCATTTTTCCCACCCTGGGAAACTCCAGTTGTCATCACTGATCCTGCCTTTTCCCCTTAGATCTATTGAGGGCCAACAATGAAAAACCGAACCACATTTACTGAATTTATCTTGCAGGGCTTTACAAATCGACCAGAACTCCAAGTGGTGATATTCATCTTTCTGTTCCTCGCCTACATGTTGAGCGTCCTGGGAAATTTGACTGTCATCATACTCACTCTGATAGACCCCCACCTCAAGACCCCTATGTATTCTTCCTCCAAAATTTTCCCTTCTTAGAAATTTCCTTCACGGCCATTCTTATTCCCAGATTTCTAACCAGTATGACAACAGCAAATAAAGTCATCTGCTTTGCTGGCAGCCTGATTCAGTATTTTTTTGCTATATTTCTTGGGGCCACAGAGTTTTACCTCCTGGCGTCTATGTCCTATGACTGCCACGTGGCCACCTGCAAGCCCCTGCACTACCCGACCATCATGAGCAGCCGAGTCTGCGTCCAGCTCGTGTTCTGCTCCTGGCTGGGGGGGTTCCTAGCTAACTTCCCCCCAGTCATCTTGATGAGCCAGGTGGACTTCTGTGCTTCCAATGTTCTGAATCACTGCTACTGTGACTACGGGCCCCTCCTGGAGCTTGCCTGCTCAGACACAAGCCTCTTAGAACTGATGGTCATCTTCTTGGCGGTTGTGACCCTGGTGGTTACTCTGGGGCTGGTGACACTTTCTTCTACATACATTATCAGGACAATTCGGAGGATCCCCTTTGCCCAGCAAAGGACAAAGGTTTTTTCCACAGTCCCTCCCATATGATTGTCATCTCTCTCTCTTATGGCAGCTGCATGTTTATGTACATTAATCCTTCTGCAAAAGAAGAAGGTGTTTTCAACAAAGGAATAGCTGTGCTCGTTACTTCAATTACTCCCTTGTTAAACCCTTTCATTTACACTCTAAGAAATCAGCAAGTGAAGCAAGCATTCAAGAACACCATCAAAAAGACTGTGAAGATTTAAATCTATCTATATATCTATATCTCTATATCTCAAGGAAATACATTCCACTTAATAAATATGTACTGAATGTCTACTATATTTCAAGTGCTGAACCAGCACTTGAGGACAAAAGTATAAGGGGCGTATGCCCTAATTTCAAGCAATCTATGATCTAATGTGATAGAAATGTGTATAAACTGTAAATTGATGTCGTAAGTTAAAAAAAAAGAATATGGCAAGTGTTATTAGAGAAAGTTGACTAAGGATCCGTGAAAAGAACAATTGGAAAGAATTAACTGCTTTCTGGAAATTACTTGAAATTTAAGAGGCAAACATCCTGCTTATTTAGAAGAGTGGGAAAGTAAAACTTTAGAGCAAGAAAGAGAGGCCAGATCATAAAGGTATTTATTACAAAGTGTGGAGTTAGCTGGATCTCGGTGAGCCAAGAGACGTTTAAGAAAGGAGGTGATGTTATCAGCATCGTCTGCAAGGAGGTCTGGCATGGGCACTGCTCTTCACTGTGGAGCGCTGGAGACCATGCTTCTATCAAAGTGTCAACATTTTTTATTCTCCTTTCCTCTTTCATTTATTTTTCAACTGTAGCCATTGCAACTTCCATCCTCCCATAAAGAAAAAAGGCTTTACATTTCATCCACTTTTCTCCAAATGAGGTGAAAATTCTCAAGATTTTGTCAACTTACATATCCGTTTTCTAGAAGTTATGGTTAGGTTTCTAGAGGGAAGGTTAGAATCCTCTCACTTCTCCTATTGGTGGTTTTCATAAACTGACATTTTTTTAAGGTTACGAGTCACCGACTCTCCCTCTTTGGTAGTCTCGCATAATTCTTTTTCTACTGTGATTTTATTTTGATCTTTTTGTTTATTTTGTTAGGTATTATAGAGGACAAATTCTGTGATATGACTTCATTTGTTTAACTTGTTCCCAAATTTTTGCTTTTTTTTAAAAAAAAATAAGCCACGGATAACTGTTTCATAAAGTAGAGAAGAATATAAGGTATTCATACAGTTTTATGTCTAGAATGTTCCAAATTTTGAGTCTCTGCAAACAACTGGAAATGGACTACCCTACCCAGAACTCTACATGGAGTCAAAGGGAGAGCAAATTCAATCTGAATCAATGTCAGTGGAACAGGGCATTTTGGAAATCTGAGTATTTGTACATTGTTTGGTACTATCCTAATTCATTGCAGAATGCTGATTACTGTTTGGGATACAAATGGAACATCATCTGATGTGTTCACACCTGTTATACGTGGTAGTGACACTGAATGGCACAATGCTCCTCAAGCACTTAAGGAGCAAACTGTACTGGACTGATCGTGAGACCAAACTCCCAGAACCGCAGAAAGCACTGAACAGTGTACAGTAGTTTCAATAAATGGCCTTTCATATAAAACCACTGCTGTTTTGAATATCTGGGTTTCCTTGGT